GCAGAGCCAAGTCAGGTCCGCTGGTGAGCTGAATCGGATCTATAGCCCGCAGACTGGAGGAGAAGGAAGTAGGCAGTGGGACAGCAGTACGTTTCCTGCAAAAACAAGACTAAAGTTTTGCAGAAGTGCGTGAGAGATTGTTATAAATAAATGATGGGCAGCATAAGAAAAGATCAGGAGAGAACAGATTGATGCAGCAGCGGTGACTTTGTACTGGCAGGGTCGGCCGAATAAATACTATGGTATGGAGATGACATGCTCTGTATATGGACCGTTTCTTTTTCACGTTTTTTTAAAAACGCAATTTGTCAGGCCCATATTTACTACCCGTCTTCCCGTCTGATCCCTCAAAACTCCGGTGGTGTGAAGCTTAACAGCTTAACCTCTTCCAGTGCAGTCTCCATGCACACTTGGAGGGCTGTCGGCCAGTTCACTTGATTTAACAGCCTATCCTGGTTCGCGCAAATGAGCGTAATCGCAGGGTGTGGCCAGACGTCTGGGCCTTTGGGTGCCTAGGCCTCAAGGAGCACCTACTCGGTCTGCGTCTGTATGGACTGTGGAGGTGAGCAAACCCCATGGTTATCCTGGGCTGTAGGATCGCTGACGTATCCGTAGCATTTCCTGTGCTAGGGAGCCCAGCCAACACTGACGACTCTGGAAGGCTGGGATTTGCATCACCAGCCTATCAGACAAAGGGGTCTGCTGTTGTATGTTGTATGATACACTGGCTGACTTGGATAAACTGTAAGATGCTACAATATTCCACAAAAATGCTGAATGTTTTCCTATAGTTTGGAATCTGTTACTATACCAGTGCAGATAAGCCAGTGAGCATGCTAGGACTTGGAATTGCATGTACTCTACAGAGGCCTGTGTAGGGCTTTAGGTTTCAAAAATAGTTTGCAGTATTTTTCAGCCATTCATTTTCTTCTTTTAGGAAACTGAAATATTTTCAGCTTATGTGGCCTGAAAAGGAGCTGTTTAATAGTCTCTGTGCAGGAAAAGCCAACTTCTGTTTTTGAATCTCTGTAGTTGTAAAGGTTAGTGAAAATGTCCAGTTGGTGTGTTTTTGCTTGAGTACTCTTTTCCTAATGAAGCATAGTGTGTTCAGGAAAGGAAGGAATATGAAACAGTGTTAGTAGCGTGTTAGAGTTATGAAAGCCCGAGGTGAATGAGCTGTTTTTTTTCCTGAAGCTAAAAGTCTAAATCACTGCTTTGTTTTGACACTTTCTTACAAAGGATTTAACACCTGGCACATTTCTTATAGAGGGTAAAAGCAAATAAACATTTCTAAAATAACATTCCAAGATAATTATAAGAAGTGTTGT